GACCAGGGATTGCAACTCCATCTCACAGACTTTGTGACTTAGACAGTGCCAAAAAAAGGGGCAGAATAATTCCCCGGTGATATGTCTTAATGGCAGGTAGTCCACCCCTCGCTATTCAGGTTGTTATGACATGGAAGAAAAATTAATGAAAATGTACTTTTCTGAAGTTAAGTCAGACTTATAAGCTAAAGATGAATATTTAGATATATTTTGTTTAAAAAAGAAGACATTTATGTTTTTATAAATTGAAAAATTTTTCTGAATATATTTTGTATATTTTGAGTAAACTGAAGAAGTTATAGTGAAAATGAGTTTATGGTTTTAATAAGGCTGTTGTTTAATGAGTCTGAATACATTCCTAGCCTTAGCAAGTGTATTTTGGTTACAGTAAACTGAAGTGGAATTTATGCTTTCTATGCAATAGTATTGAACACTAAGATGTGTCACAGTAAAGGTATAATTGAGTCTGTTACAAGTATGATATGTTAAGAGACCAGTAATACAAGGTTGCAAATGTTACTACAAGTTGGTGCATAGTCAACAAGTCAACGTGTTGTATAATGAGTTATCGTAATATAAGTCATTATCTAGAAGGGGAGGGATGTAGTGTCTGGGAACACAGATATATGCGTGATGACGTCAGGGGTACGAGGGAGGTAAAAGAACGAGTGAGACACGAATAAAGAAGCATGGTAATGACGGTAATTTTGTCTTTATATTGTCAGAAATATGAGGTAGTATAAGATAAGGTATATGTCAGGTGCGTCTTTTTTGATGAAGGCAGACTGAAAGGGCAATCGGCAACTACATAACATTATTGTTTGCTCCTAGTAGCTAAAAACTAAAATTTGTATGTTTTATTTTATGCTATTTAACTGGCAAAGACCTCAAAATTTACATTTACTGCCAGTCAAAGAAGAGGGACTGCTTTCACCCAAAAGGGGGCAGGGGGAAGGCCAAAGTACCCAAATTAGCTGTTCTCATATCTAGGGATGTGAAATATTTGTGGCAAAACAGAGGGGGTAAAAAAGATGTAAAAATAAACCTCCACCAGTTATTTCAGTGTGTCAGATACATTTCATTAACATTTCATAACTTCTCCTGCACATTTTATTATGAGGTTGCAGCTTCAAGTTGTGCACATTCATGAAGCTGCCACTATTTCTGACTGCTGAACCAACAAAAGCTGATTATGAATCCATATGATAAGGGATTAGAAATGATACAATTTGATAAAATGCTTTCAAACCCAAACTAGGGTTGTAAGAAAATATCAAAAATTTCATATCGTGATATTTTGCTTTGGGTATATTGTATTATTTCTCAAAAACACTACTGATTGTTGTGATTGAACCCCTAACCGCTAGATAGCAGTGTTGTGAATGTACACTGAGAGCTATGATGTTGGATGTTATAGGGACTTCTTGCTCAGATATTTATGCATATTGTGGACAGTTCTGCTAAAATTAGTTTATAATAAATGCCAATATATTGTCATGCTTACAATATTGCAATATATCATGATATATCAAATCGTAACCTGTATTGTAATACGATACGAATACGAAAAATGTTTTAAGTAACACTAGCTCAATTTTGTAAGTTAAAATATTTTTGATTAAGCAGCTTTTACAAGGTATTTTGTTTTCACAGTACAACTAAATATTAAGTCAGTGTCACTTAAAAGTACTAGTAAAAGCTGTTTATTCAAGTGTTTTTATTTTAAAAAATTGAGTTTGTTACCTAAAATTTTCAGTGTACTCAGTCTCAACAATGTTTTAAGTTAAATTAATTTTTTAAGTTTTACAATTTAGTTTTCTAAGTCACAGAAACATTCTTAATTACCATTAAAAGCTGTAATCCAAACTGTTTTTTGTTACTTAAAATTTTGAGCTGAGTAAAATATCTTATAACTTATCAGGTTTTACAGTGTGTATTGTGATATCATATCGGCAGACTCCTGCCAATACACAGCCCTAACCCCAACCCTAGCTACCGACTATGTTGACTATGTTTCAGTTGGTACCAAAACAGTATCCAGGTTCAGTACCCAAGTGGAAAACAGCCCCTGAACAAAGCACACAACAGTATGTGGTAAGAGTGTGCACATAATTTTAGCTCTATAGTGTATTTTTTTATATCGATGAGACCTTATTCTCTCTGCAGGTTTGTTCTATGTGGTGGCTCATCCAGACAAAACACTAAAGACCCCAGAGACTCGCCAGCTCTCTCACTCTGTCAGACAGATAAACACAGCAGAGAAAAAACAACAGTCAAGATGGAGACAGAGCAACGAAAAGAGGTCAGACACTGAGAGAGAAACGGGCAGACAGACACACAAATAGAGATATAGAGAGGGAGAAAGTGTGAAAGGGCGAGTCAGAGCCAGTGGAAGCACATTGTTCCTGTCTCACTCGTTCAGGCCTCACCTACAGCTGACGCTCCCTGCAGCCAGGTCCTTTCACAACTTATCACGCTCCCAGAAAGTGCTCCCCACAGCCAGGAATTCACTGCCAAATCTAATAATTACTTTGCAGACCTTGGTGACTATTGCATTATGGGAGCGTATTCACATATACAGTCTCCAGCGACTGTGACCCCGAGTCAAAATTGTCAATTTAATCATAATTAATAATGGCACTACTGCAGCATTTCAATCCTGCAAGTCAAAGTCATTAAAATGGCTCCAAGAACTCCTGGACTATATTGTCTGGAGGAAGTAATCAACTTTGGACAGGCCTCAGTAATTCATTAATATACCACCTCCAGAAGAAAAAGAGGAGGGAAGGGTGACTTTGTCTACAGGAAATTTGTTTCTTTAGACTTTCTGGGACAGTGCTGGATGTTTGATATTAAGGCATGGTGAACAGTGAAAAAGAACAACCGTGCTGTTATTTATTCACGCTACATTGTGAAATTCTGACAGCCTAAAATTAAAATTTTTAAATTTAGAGTTGAAAACCTAATTTTACACTTTTATCAAGGTGACACTTTTTCTATGGATTAAATAGATTGCTGCAGGAATGAGTCATAAAACCTGAAACTGACTTAGCATTTTAGCATCACTGGTTCCCTCGCCTCAAAGTCAGTGAGGTTTTGGATGGGCTTTTGGTTATGCCTGAAATAAAATCTGTAAAGCTTTGTCATATTTTCTGAAACTTTCACTATATCCTGACAGTAGTACACGAGACAGATAATTTGTAAAGAAATTAAGGTTCCTCTGGCTCCTAATGGCATTTGCAAGAATCCACCGGGCCTGAACGAAAACAACGAATCAGAGCCGAGAAAGATGTAAAGACACTTTGGACTGATGGCTCGAAGATAGCTGATTGTTGAGTCTCATTCCCAGGGTCCAAATTTGACAACCTGGGGAAGAGACTCAACAGTCAACTATATTTCTCAGTTTTCCTAAAATTAGATTAAAATAAATTTTAACAATATCGCAATAGATCACAATATATTGAATCGTAACCCCTGTATCGTGATACATATCATACCGCCAGATTCTTGCCAATACACAGTCCTAATACATAGAATAATAAACTGCATCAGACTCAGTGTGGAAGCTTTCAATGCTTAACGAATTTAATGGGATGATGGATCACAAAAACACAACTTGATGTGCAAAGGCCTTCAGGCTCCAGATTCTATATAAGCGAGCACACAGTACATATCAGCTCAGGTTTTGTAAAAATGATCCAACACGTGTTGTGTTGGCTGTACAGTAAAACACAAAGAACATCCACAGTGTGCTGCAAGCTACCCGAGTCGTCCAACAACACAATGTTACCCTGCTCAGTTAACACCAATACAGTGAAGCTACAAACAACAACAGACAAAAGCTAAATGATTTAGAAACCCAGATAATCTCTATAGCTTGTTATACCACAAAGCAGCAGCCAGACCTGCTGTGTTAATGTGCTCACTGTGTTAGAGAGCTGCTGCTGCTTACCTTGAAAGCTCCCAACTGACAGGTAAAGCCAGGTGAGTGCTGGGATGAAGAGCAGGGCGAGGGAGGCCGCCAGGAACTTCCTGCGCCCGCGACACATTCCCAGCATCCTCTGGACCGAAGCAAATGGAAAGAGAGGTGAAGTGACCTCTATGTTGGTAGCAGCTGTTGTCCAGGCTGATTCATGGCACTGAAAGAGAGGGAAGAGGAGGAAAAACTGGGTTAGAGAAGGAGTCGCCGTCTCACAACCTGTATGGACACGATTACAGCTGAGCATGCGGCTTCTGCTGCTGCCAGAGAAAAATACATCTAAACCTCCTGAGCCAAAAGACACATTTTTAATCATTTACTCAAGGATTGTAAACTGTAGGATTGCTAATTTCACATTTTCACCTTCAAAGCTTTGGGCTGCAATGATTTCTAGATGACATTTGATGGAAAAAAAAGCAAAAACAAAAATGAGTTTCCACAACCAGTGGTACTGACAAATTTGGGGTTAGAGATGACCAGTCAAATTAAAGAATCTCCATGAAGCCAACCTATCCAGCTCATTAAATAATTCATATAGAATTTAAATGAGACACTGAAAATGACAACTGCAAGCATGAAGCAGCTCAAACTTTCCTAACCTACCAACCAACTTTAAAGGGATTCGTGTTAATAAATCGGGCAGTCACATACTAATCTGACTTTGATGACCTAAACTAATTTGTCAATTTCGAGTGCAATGCAGGGCAGAGAGTATAGAAGTCTCATTATATGATATTAGTCGAAATCCTCTTTCTGTAACAACCACATTTGTCCAATTACCCGGTTGACCTCAGTCGATTTTTAATCTCCACCAGACCGACTGCCCAGGGATGAAACATAATACCTCTGGCTGGCACTGTGGAGGCTGGCACATACACAAGCCAGGATGCCAATTATCATAGTGTCACCCAGTAAAATGCAGTAGAGGGAGCGGATTTCAGAAATGAAAAAATATTTCCAGCACTCTTCCCAGCACTTACTGCATCTCCAGGTTTTTTTCTAATGTTTTATTGTGGACTGGGCAATGTGAAAAGCGCGGAGTGAGAGGGGGTTAAATGAGGCTAAAGGAGATTAAACAAGTCGCTTAAGTACAACAACTGCCTCTTTGATAGGTGGACTATGAATCATTTCCGAGGCTCCTTAGCCTTTGACCCCTGTGTGATATTAGCTCTCCACTGGAAACTGTGATTTACAATGCAAATGCTACACTGAAGACATTTATTACCATATTCAAGTGAGGTGTCAGACCACCGAGTAAGCAGATCCAGTTGTGCAGGGATGCATTATGTAGCAAGGAGGTTAAAGGAGCTCAGACTAAAGAGCAGCAGCAGAGTAAAGGATCATTTCTGGCCTTTGTTAGCTATCATTGCTAAGATGTGACATCAGAATCAGAATCAGAATCAGAATTAGGTTTATTGCCAAGTAAGTTTTTACACATATGAGGAATTTGTCTTGGTG